AAGCGAATGCTGTTTTTTAATTAAACAATATTAATTACATTTACTGGCCTGAATGTTCGAGAAATTTCATAGAAAATATGCGTTCTCCGATAAAAATCGAACCTCTATTCCTATACGGTAAGCATCATTTGATTTGATGTGCCACACCCTTCAGCTACAGAGAAGCGTCTGGTTAGCAAAGTTCGAATTACTGTTTATAAACACATTTATTTCCATACAGGAATACAGGTTCGATTCTTGTCGGAGAACGCATATTTTCTACGAAATTTCTCGAACATTCAGGCCGGTAACTGTAATTAATACTGTTTATTTAAAAAACAGTATATTTACTTAAATAAATTGTATCTATAAAAATAACGTATGAACAGAAGATATATTAAATATATCTAAACTATAATTAAAACTATAATTTATAAAGTGAAAGTTTTCTAAAATATGTTGGAAAACTTGAAATGTCAAGTTTTCATGTGACATCAAGAAAATACCAACATTTATGTTGAATGATCGCAATACAGCGAAATGTGTCACGTTAAACTGATAGTGTTTAACATCTAAACATTTAAAGTGTATAAAATCTGTTTGTTAGACGTTTTCAAAAGTCAATTCAATAGAAAGTTAGATAGATAGATAGATAGATAGATAGATAGATAGATAGATAGATAGATACGAATAGAATTAGATAGATATTAAAGCGTAAAATTATATGGCCCAATCCATCTTTTAATTGCAATTTTCAATGTAATATCGGGAAAATAAGAAGAAAAAAGAGAAAAGCAATAATAACAACAAAAATTGCTATATGAGCTCCGGTAGCTCTGGTGACAGTAACCAAAGGGTGTGAGTTCAATACCTTGTTAAGGCAGTGGAGAACTTGTAGAGGGGAATTAACAGGAGATAACTGATAACTGGCATCCATCAAACATGGCACGTGGAACTAGAACAGCCTAAACCAGTGAGCGTAATAAACGGTTTAGTTCGACATTCCAACCACCTGAAGAAAGCCGAAGCATACAACGACCGAAACGTTGTGATAAATATGGCGACAAAAATGAGGATGATAGTCCGAACAATGTTAATAAAGTATTTTACGCTTAAATTGTTTTTGTCAGTAAAAAAAAGTAAAGACAGAGATTGATTTCATGAAAAAATATTGTTAATTCAAAAATAAATAAGTATATATATATATATATATATATATATATATATATATACATAGTTTTAAGGTATGCTATATTTATGGGATAGAGTGTTCAATATTATATATAGAGCATATATAAATATAAAAGTGAACACTGAAGTCAACACTAAGAGGCGACAGACTGTTTCACGCTAAATGCAATCGTCAGGCCTATGTGTATGCGTATGTATGTAGGTAGGTAGGTATAAAGTTGTAAACTGTCTTTCATGTCCTGTCTACAATAGAAAAAATTATATAAATATATAATATAAATATTTTTGAAAGCATAAATATTTTTTGAAATTTTCAATTTAGTAAAATTTTTATTATTAATAATAAAAAGTGATTCAAACAACAGAATATTTTTGAAAGCATAAATAATTTTTAGAAAATTAAATTAAATTCTTTAGCAAATTTTTTATGATCTCCGCCCCAGCATGGTTAAAAAAGATAGTGTATATTTAGAAAAAAAATTGTTTTTTGGGGTTTTTTTTTTTTTTTTTTTTTGCATTCACTTTTAAAATTTAATATCTAAACTTTTAAAAATATTAATTGTAACAAAATGGTAAAAGAGATGTAACAAAGTTATCCCATTCAAAAAATTCAACAGGAATATTGTTTTTCAGAATGAGATTATATGGTGGCATGCCAGATCGTTGCAGGGAATTTAGGAATGTTCAAATTTTAATGTTTTTTAAATCAAAAAATAATTATTATAGATGAACATTCCATTATTTCATAAAATAAATATATTCTGTATCAAATTAACAGCAGTATTATAAATATGACTTTAATATTTCACTCTGCTCAAGTCCCACGTAGAATGTATTATCAGCATATTGTAAAAATAAAATTATATGTAAACATAATAAATTAAATATTTACTTACCATCCCGACAGCATAGACATAAAAACAAAATGCGTGTATTTAAATTAATTAAAAATTTCCACATGAAAAGTATCGAAAAAGATGACTATATGTTCGTGGAATTAAAGCTACTGGTTTTACAATTTTTGTTTCGAATATTTGAATAAATATTAAGCTTCTTTTTTCAAATAATTGTATTTAATATTCTTCTTTTAAATTTTGTTGTTTTAATATTCGTTTTTTTTTTTTTGTTTTTGTTTTTTTTAAGTTACGCTTTTTATTTACAATAGATATGGAAATAAATTCAAGAGATTAGAATTTTTTTAAATACATATAGCGGCTTAGCATTTCAAAATTATCAGAAGGATTAAAAAGTAAAAACGAACTGGAATCATTTTTATTCCCGATTGTTTTTACTTTTTAATTCTGAGAATTTCGAATGCATTCTAATGCAATTATTTCGTATTTTTAATTTTAAAATATCAAAACAAATACAAATCATACGATGATAATTTTTTTACAAAAAAGTGGGTCGGGTGACAATAAGTTTGTATATATAGTTATTTTGTTCTTAATTATTGTAATTGTATTGTGTGTCCGGCTAAAACTTTTTTAGCCGGACACACAAACACAGGCAATTATCATTTATATAAGTATAGATTATTTGAGAGTGTTACATTTTTTTATGTAATAAATTGAAAATTGATTTTGTACATATAAATAAACACGGAAGATATATGCAACTGAAACATAATGCAATATCAGATTTCCCTGAATTAATTAAAATTTTAAAATGTATATATGAGCTCATTGAGATTCCATAACCTTCACCAGTTTTTCAACCGTTGGTTTTGTTCCCATTTATGCTCTTTTGATTTTAACTTTCAGCAGTTTCTATTTCCTCCCAGGGATTGTCTTTCCTTGAATATTGTTTTTCATTCTCATATACATTTCACGTGGATCACAAGTTTTCTATTTGGACACGCTGAGGCTATTCCATTAATTTAGTGTCTTTGAAACATTTTGTTTCGGCAAAGTGTCAGATTTGGAGTATATGAGGGAACAATTTCTTGTATAAATATACACTTTAGTTTAAGCTTTTTTTTATTTTTGACCTGTTCCACAAAACAACTAAAACAAAAACCATGAAATTTTTCGTCAACTTTTAAGAGACCTATAATTTTATTGCCTACAATACTAGCAGAAAACATTTCTTCAATTGTCACCTGTTGTCTTAGAATTCGGTTTACTTGACTGCTTCCATGAATGACACATACGCATGTGTTTTTGAACATAGAAATATAGGTCCTTGCTAGATTAGACAATCGTTATATTTGTTTGTTTTTTTTATATGTTTACATTTGATTTGTAACCTGTAGTCGATATTAATTTTGTCAACTTTTCTTGATTACACAGCGGCCCTTTCAGTAAATGCCCTTCACTTTTAGTTTCCCTCGCCCCATCTCTCTCCCCCACCCTTTCTTTTCTTTTCTTTTCCTCTCCCTCCCTCATTTCTGATCTTTAAGATTATATAGTCTATTGTGTGTGTATGTCACCACAAAATGTATCCTTTCCGGTTACATCTTTAATGTATTAGACATCCGACAACGTTCATATTACTCTCACTTAAACCGTCTTTGACTCCCCTCTTTAAAACTTCTCTCTGTTAAATTTTAATCCCTCCCTTCATCTTTAGACCTTCCTGTTCTTCTCCTGTTCTTCTCTCGTCTGTTACCCCTCTCTATAGCTTTCATTTACTCTAACATTCGTCCCACACTCTCATACTTACACTCCCACTAAATTTTATTTTTTATTCCCGGAGTTGTTTTTTCTGTTTTCTTTTTGAATTTGTAGGTCTGATAAATTGGATCGTATTTACGGTTCCAATGGAATAAATTATGACCATGGAATATTAGTGTTCAAGCCTTTTTATTATATTCTTACTCTGTCCTGAACATTGAGTTCTACCTGGATTCTATCCTCTTGGAATTATTTTTTATACAAATATATATGTATGTGTATGTATGTATATATATTTATATATTTTGCATATGTATGTGTATATTTACCACTAATATTATTCTCTCTCTCTCTCTCTCTCTATATATATATATATATATATATATATATATATATATATATATATATATAAAATTGGAATTAAGATACCTTTAGTTAATGACCATTTTCACCTACGAATTTTAAATTTGTTGAATTTTTTAAACTGTTTACGGTATCCGTTTGTAGTGGAATATCTACGATCTACAAACTGATACCGTAAACAGGTTGAAAAATCCTGCAATTTGCTCTGTTTAATGAAAATGAACATTGAGAGCTCCTTTGAGAGTCAGTTTTAATATATTTCAAATTCTCTATTATTAGGACTCGCCTGGATTATACCAACGGATTACTCCCTGCATATATATATATATATATATATGTGTGTGTGTGTGTGTGTGTGTGTGTGTGTGTGTGTGTGTGTGTGTGTGTGTGTTCGAAAATTTTAACCAACCTCGATTGGTTAATATATATTTTAATGTGAAAACATGAACTTGCATAATAAAATATGACAGTATATGATTAAAATGGCTACAAATGGTTATATAAAAAAAACTTGCGAGAAATCAAGAAAAATCTGAAAGATTATTAAACGGAAACGTTCCATAGTCTTTAATAACAAATGCCTCAATACATAGATAGATAGATAGATAGATAGATAGATGCAGAGTTGATTAAATGCACATTTTGGCTTAAGAATCTAATCTACGAAATGCTACGGCCAATATTAACTAGCAAATACTGACTGAGTTTATATTTCCTTTTATTTCTTCTCTATATATTCATTGGAACTTCGACTTGATTGATTGTACGAAAGTAAATATATATATATATATCATTTATTCTTGACTTTGAGAATGTCTATCAAGACACGTCTTAATCGGGTGACGAAGATCGATGGTGTGCGCTAATCATTTGGATAGTTTTTCTCAATATCCATATCTCCCACGGTATTTTTCACTTTTCTTTTATTTTCTCTTTACCGGGATTCTCGCCTATCCCTCTCTTCATCACTTTTTTTTTCTTTCTTTTCTTTCTTTCTCTCTCTCTCTATCTCTCTCTCTCTCTCTCTCTCTCCTTCTCTTTCCTACTCTCCTTTCTCCTCTCTATTTTCTCACTTTTACAAATGCATGCTCTCCTCTCCCTACCTCTCTCTTTTCCATCTCCACACATCTCTCTCTCTCTCTCTCTCTCTCTCTCTTTCACCCTTTAATATTTTCTTTGTGTCTTTCCTGTTCTCTTTCATTGTTTTTCATTCCCATATAATCTGTATGTATCTTTCTTTTATCTAATGTTTTGATATCTTTTCATTATTTTTTAGTGCTTCTCTTTCAGTCATTTTCCCCAGTTTTTCTGATATTTTCGTCTTTTTCCTGACCTTGTCGTAAACTCTTTCTACTCTTTACAACCTCTCGTTCTACTCTCTTAGCCTCTCTTTTTACAACCCCTCTCTTAGCCTCCCTTTCTATTTACGACCCCTCTTTCTACTCTCTTAGCCTCTCTTTCTACTCTTTACAACGCCTTTTTCTACTCTCTTAGCCTCCCTTTCTACTATTTAAAACCCCTTTCTACTCTCTTAGCCTCCCTTTTCTACTCCTTACCCCTCTTTCTACTCTCTTAGCCTCTCTTTCTACTCTTTACAACCCCTCTTTCTACTCTCTTAGCCTCTCTTTCTACTCTTTACAACCCCTCTTTCTACTCTCTTAGCCTCTCTTTCTACTCCTTACAACCCCTCTTTCTACTCTCTTAGCCTCTCTTTCTACTTTTTACAACCCCTCTTTCTACTCTTAGCCTCTCTTTCTACTCTTTACAACCCTCTTTTACTCTCTTAGCCTCTCTTTTTACTCCTTACAACCCCTCTTTTCTACTCTCTTAGCCTCTCTTTCTACTTTTTACAACCCTCTTTTCTACTCTTAGCCTCTCTTTCTACTTTTTACAACCCCTCTTTCTACTCTCTTAGCCTCCCTTTCAACTCTTTTCATCCTCTCTTTCTACAGTTTTTGGTCCTTTTTCGATTCTTTTCGCCCAATCTTTCTATTCTGTTCCTCCTCTCTTTCTATAATTTTTGCCCCCTTTTTCTACTCTTTCGCCCCGTTTTTCTACTCTTTCCGTCTTCTCGTTCTGTTCTGTTCGTCCTTTCTTTCTACAATTTTCACTCCCTCTTATTATTTTTTGCCCGGCTTTTCTACTCTTTTCATCCACACTACCATTTTCGACCCCATTTCTTTCTATTCTTTTCATTCTCTCTTTCTACCATTTTCAACCCCCTCTTTCTATTCTTTTCGCTTTCTCTTTCTACTCTTTTCATCTCATCTTTCTACTCTTTTCCCCTCCTCTTTCTATGATTTTTCCTCCCACTTCCTGTTCTTTTCACCACCGCTTTTGACTCTTTTCTGCCTCTCTTTCTACACTTTTCGCCCCCTCTTTCTACTCTTTGCGTCCTCTCTTTCTATTCATTTTCCCACTTTTTATCTTCTCTCTCATAATCCCTTTATCTTCCTCTTTTACGTAATTTACATTCTTGATATCCTGAAAGCCTCTCTTTGATATTCCCCTCTTACGTTCGCACACACACATATATGTGTGTGTTTGTGTGTGTGCGTCTTGCTGTAAAATTGATATCCTTTGCATATAGGTTTTTGAAATAGTGAATGATAGATTTGAACAAATTAGTGACAAACGTCCTGTCGTTCTGTCCAACACATTATCCGTTTGAAAAACCCAGACAATTTTCTGTGGCTTCGTTGATGAAATCTATTCAGAAGCAAGTAATCTATATGTTATTGGGCAGAAGAGTAACTATGACAGCGGTGATTAAACTGATTGTATTTCAAGCCGTTGATAATGAAATGTTCATCAGTCGAGGCACTGCAAGTTTGGCCATGTGACAAGATTGACTTGATCCAACAAAAACGTAGGCATCCACTGATGGAATAAGATAGAGAGATACAGGTAGGCAAAGGGATACCCTAATAGATAGATAGATAGATAGATAGATAGATAGATAGATAGATTAAAATCATTAGATAGATAGATAGATAGATAGATAGATAGATAGATAGATAGATAGATAGATTAAAATCATTAGATAGATAGATAGATAGATAGATAGATAGATAGATAGATAGATAGATAGATAGATAGATTAAAATCATTAGATAGATAGATTAAAATCATTAGATAGATACATAGATTAAAATCATTAGATGGTATTTATCAATCCACCCACGGGGATCGAATGTGGCACAAGGTCTTTTTAATGTGGGTATCTCTGAGCCCGTAGGCCCAATCAAAAATAAAATAATTAGATAGATAGATTAAAATCTTTCGATAGATAGATAGATAGATTAAAATCTTTCGATAGATAGATAGATAGATAGATAGATAGATAGATAGGTTAAAATCTTTCGATAGATAGATAGATAGATAGATAGATAGATAGATAGATAGATAGATAGATAGTTAAAATCTTTCCATAGATAGATAGATAGATAGATAGATAGGTTAAAATCATTAGATAGATCCGTAGATTAAAATCATTAGATAGATAGATAGATAGATAGATAGATTAAAATAATTAGATAGAGAGAGAGAGAGAGATACAACCTTGTGCAAATTAGTTACAACAGCCGCTTTAGTTTCATTTCTTTCATAATACGGTCAGTTTTAGATCCACTGGAGTGACAGGGTGTAATCGGTTTCTATTTTTTTCCTCGGATTAGGTCATTTACAGTGGTGTGCAGTAATACGAATCTATTTTCGAGATTATCACGAAATTTGTTTGGCCTTGAAAAATATTGCGTTATCCGTGATTGCATCAGATTTTCATCACGTCCTACCATTATTTTCTCGACTGTCGATTAGTTCTCCTACGGCCATTGTCTACGATGAACATTACTCCAAGGAAGCGTAGAATTGTAACACTGCACGAACACAACGGCAAGCCTTACCAGTGAGTAAATGAAAGTACTGGCTCGAAAACCCTCCTGATTTAACTCCAATCGAGAATCTGTGGTCAGTCTTCAAGGAAAGACTTTATGCAATGGACATTCGAAGTACTAGCATGTGCACTGGGTCACGTTTCATTAGAAAAATATGAAAAAAGTAAATAAGGGAATTATTCATTTTGTTTCAATTAATTTGCACAAAGGTGTAGATAGATAGATAGATAGATAGATAGATTAAAATCATTAGATAGATAGATAGATAGATAGATAGATAGATAGATGAATAGATAGATAGATAGATTAAAATCATTTAGATAGATAGATAGATAGATAGATAGATAGATAGATTAAAATCATTAGATAGATAGATAAAATAGATAGACATAGATTAAAAAAATCATTAGATGGATTTATCAATAGATTAAAATCGAATTGGACAAGATCTTTTTAAAATCATTAGATAGGCCCAATCAAAAATTAAAATCATTAGATGATAGATTAAAATCTTTCCATAGATACGGGGATAGATTAAAAATGATGGATAGACAAAGGTCTTTTATAGATGATAGATATAGATAGGTAAAAAGCCCCATAGGGCCCAATAGAAAAATAAAGATAATTAGATAGATAGATTAAAATCTTTAGATAGATAGATAGATTAAAATAGATAGATAGATGATAGATAGATAGATAGATAGATCAAAATAGATAGATAGATAGATAGATAGATAGATATTTATAAAATAATTAGATAGATAAAGAGTCAGATTAAAATAACTAGATAGCCAGACAAACAGACAAATATATGAAAACAATTAGATAGGTAAATAGATAGACGAAATCATTAGAAAAATGAAAATAGAAAGGAACATACCAATTTCAATATGCCAAATAATTGTTGCAATTACCAACAAAATATTTGCCAATAAAGGTAGAAATCTAAAAATGTAAGATTGCCTAATCAGAAAAAATAAAAAAAGCAACCCTACACAACATCAACTACGAACACTGCCATAATGCACTGACAATCTTCAAGAACTAAAAATATATCGACGCATCAGCAACCTCCACAACATTTTCAAAAACACAACTAAAGTCCTAACAGATAAACCGAAAGCGCTAAGAACGAACACTCACTTGAAGAATTACTCCCTACAGTATGTAAAATAGATAGATAATATATATATATATATATATATATATATATATATATATATATATATATATATATATAAGCTAAGCAGAGATTGAAGTCTATAGAGAGGTTATAGTTGTTCCAACGAGAGAAAAGTGTATATTTTAAAGAGAAGGGAGAAGCCGCAACCGTTTCTGGTTATGAAGTGGATTTATATATATATAAATTATACATTATTTTTCCATATTTCTTTGCTACATGGGTTTCGTGTATTGCAACCTTCATCAGACGAAGAGAGGTTATTTCCACATATTATTAAAAGGAATTAATTTTTCCTTATGTTTTCAGATGTTTAACTATTGTCTTTTGCGTGTAGTAGCAATCCAAATTTTCTTGGACTTGTGGAAAAATATTCTTCTGTTTAAGGGTTAATAAAACAATTAGGATTAGTTAGAGAAAGTGGGAAGGAAGAAGGTCTTTGTTCTTATCTTTTTATGACTCCTGTAACTTTTTAAACCTATCTCCATATTTGCGTATAGTGTGTGTGTTTGCTAGTATGTGTATACATATTCCTTCTCCATACTTATATATTGTTTTATTATAAGGAAATAGTATATATATAGATATATATATATATACACTTCGTATGATGTGTAGGGTTCGTGTGTGTGTGTGTATGCGTGCGTGCGTGCGTGCGTGTGGTCCGTCTAATGTGTTTATTTTTGCCAGTATGTGTGTATATATTTGTTCTCCATAGATATTTTTATAGTGTGTGTGTGTGTGTGTGTGTGTGTGTGTGTGTGTGGTCCTACTAGCGTGTTCTGCCATTATTTGTGTATGGTGTGTGTTTATATTTGTGGGGTTATGATTTGTTTAGTGCTCATTTAAATTTGTCTACGAAGTTTTTTGGGTTTTTATGAAGGTAAAATTTTATGAAGATAAAATCTGTTGTTTAGTACTTGGGTTATACCTATATAGGATTTATTGCATTTTGTGCACAAAATGCAACAAATCCTATAAACGTTGTGTTTATGGCAATAAAAATGAGGAAAATAGTCCAAACGATATGGCTTCTCCGTCTTTTCTACAAATATTTTTATGCCATCTGCTCTGATGAGCTTTTTTTTCCCCTGGTGCCCTGACTACATGAATTTAAACGTGCTACTAGATCCCACCCTTTTATTGTTGAATTAGTTATATGCAACTGCTACGTCTACTTCAAAAGTTTCTTTTCCTGCACTTCCTGCCTGTGGAACTCCCTTCCGTTTACTTGCTTGATAAATAAAATCTTCAAAAATGTAAATGCAACGCCAATCGCCATCATCTTTCTTCTTCAATCACGTTCATCGTTCATCCTTTCCTCAATCCTCTCTATACCCAGTCTTTTCTACGAATTTCACTCTCTGTAACCCCCCTGCGTACTAGTGGCATTCCTGCTTTTCCTGGGGTGAAATGTTAAAAAATAAAATAGTGTAAATAGGATTTTAATGATTTTAAAATATGCAGATTTAATTTCTTCTAAATTCGTGAGCACTTGAATGACTAAAACATATGGCAGTCCATGGTATAATCTCTCTTTCTTAAGAAAGACACAAAACTACATTATAGCCAAATAAATAAAATATTTGTAGGGGAAATCAGAGCTGCAGTAACGCTTTTTATAACAAAAGACCGGACATCCAGATAGTGAATCTTTGGAACTCAAGGTCAAATGTGCTTGCATTCGTTGTTTACAGCAGGTACCCATTTTGATGCTGATAGCTATACTAAGCATTCTAATTGGATGCTTTGAGCAAAGCATATGTGCCGCTTCTTTCAGTCGTCTAAGGACAAAATAACCTAGGAAATCAAATAAACTCGTTCAATATACTTGAAAAGTTATTGAATGCGACACGTAAATAGGGAAGACCAGAAACTGTAGCCACCAAAATACTGGCGGGGGGAGTGACTAGGAAACTAATGTCAGTGAATCAATATATAATACTAGGGTCGGAAAAATTTTGTTGGTTTCAGTTTCATTTGGAATGACGGCAAAAAACTTCCCCTCTCCATTTTATAGGCAGAGGTACACAAATCCATGCTGGGATTTCTTCCTTGCCAATAAAATAGGCCGGTTTTCGGTTTCATCTGACTCAGTGCTGATCTGTCTTGTACTAAAGTCAAAACGCTATGTTCGCTTGTCCGAATTTGCTTTTGTGTTATCAATGTCAATTCTTAGATTGTGAACTTTTTGTCATATTACTGTTGCTTTGCCTTATTACTGTTAATTTGCCTTGAATATATTGTTTGCTAGCTTTATATTACTTTTGCCGTGTTCTTTTCTTTTTCTTGTTATTGCTTTTTGCAAACTTTATTGGATAGTACTGTTACTTATTCTGCATTTGACTATGACTACTCACTTCACAATATTAATGTCTGTTCTAATTTAATTTTGAAAGTATTATTCTGATTATTTGGAAGATATT